TTAGACATACACGAAATTGTTCTCATTCCCCCTGCTGTAAAAGATACTTCAAATTGGGACTCGGTTCACAAGTGCAATGCAATTTGGCTTAGCTCAACCTTTGTTCTGCTTGTACAAATGACCAAACAGTGCACACATTATACAGTTGATCTACTGCTCCCTTTACACCAGAGTTAGCGGCTGGGAGAAAAGCAAGTTAATCCCTTCAATACTAAGGTGGCATTTTCAATATTTCCTACAATGCGAGAAGGAGAAGAGAGGGCAGCTTGAAATGCGACATTTGTTTAAAAGGGAAGATTAAAAAGAAAAAGTTTGCGAGGCCTCCCCTGTTACTTCTCCAAATAAATAAATAAACAAACCAACAAGTCCCAAACGTGTAGATAAATACTCCAGCGCCTCCGGGAAGGCAAGGGAAGTTTACCACAAAGACAGGCTCTCGGGGCAGTAACGCCGAGACTCGAGCTGGAATCCGCGCCAACAGCGCAGTACTTAACACAGCGCTGGGGACTCACCGCTGCTGCGGGGCCCGAGCCCGCGGCCACGGGCACACCTGTACGGCCCGGGCACACCTGTACGGCCCGGGCATACCTGAGTGGCCCCGGGCACACCAGAGGGGCCCTGAGCATACCCACACAGCCCGGGCACACCTGTATGGCCCGGGCACACCTGAGTGGCCCTGAGCACACCCGCACGGCCCCGCGGAGGTGGGACGGACGGGGGGCAGGTGCGGGCAGCGCTGCGTGTGCCCAGCCGGAGCTCACGCCCTCGGTGTGTCGGCCCCGCGCAGCCCCGGCTCCTCCGAGCCCTCCAGGGAGGTCCTGGGGACGCGGAGGGAGGGGGGGCTGCGGGGCCGCGCTTACCCGCGCGTGGATTGACCGCCGGCGACGGAGGAAAAAGAGCTCTCCCGGGAAACCGGCTTCGGTCAGGAACCGGGTGCTCCGGGCCAGCCCCAGGAGCGATGAGCGGGAGCAGCAGCCTCCTCCCGGGCTTAAGGAATTCGGGTGGTCCCAGCGCGGGCTCTCTTCGCGCTGGGCAGGGGCGAAACGACGGCGCTGAGCCGGGACAGGGGCCCAGCCGGTGCCACCCCGGCGGTGGCGCAGCGGGGACAAGTGCCGGGGGCTGGTGGCGCTTGAAATCGCCGACGGGGCGGGCGAGGACAGCGCGAACAGGCAGCCGGCTCTGAGGAGGGTGACAGCAGCGAGGAGCCAGCGGGCGGCACGGCAAGGCAAGGCAGGGCAGGGCAGGGCAAGGCAGGGCAAGGCAAGGCAGGGCAGGGCAAGGCAAGGCAGGGCAGGGCAAGGCAAGGCAGGGCAGGGGTGGCCGAGCCCAGCGCCGTGAGCCCCGGGCCCCGGGGGGCGCAGCCGGGCCCAGGCCCCCTCGGGCACAAAGCGCTCTGCGCATCTCAAGCTATCGGGAATACAGGTTTGGGGAGCAGTTCTCAGTCCAGCCTTGACAGGCAGGGGGAGTTTGTTTAGTGCTCGTTGGGAAAGGAACAAAATCCTTTTGAAAGGGCGCTAAGTAGTTTCACGCCAAAGTGGCAGATTTGGTGAAGAATGTGGGGTGGGACAAAGCCTCGCCGTTCCCAGAGCGGCCGCAGCGCTTCGGGAAACCGCACCGGGAATTCAAGCACACAGAAAAGCAGGAGACCCCAAATCTCTCCGCTTCCTTCTCCCTCCCGGCCCCCGAGAAGAAGCAGAACCATTACTGAAAAAAAGAGAGCAAGGCTTAGCCGAAACGCAGCCACGACCAGCAGCCTGGAGTTGACTTTCCAAAACGGGGGAAGCTTGCTCAGAGCCTGGCATTGTGTTTTGCAGCCTAGGAAACCCTAAGAAGCTGGTACTTCCCCCCTCCCTTCTCTTTTCTCCCAACCGGTTTGTAAATATTAACAAGGTTGTGAGCTATTCTCTCACACGGAGTGGGTTTTTTCTATCCTTGGAAAACTTCTTGGCTTCCCCCCACAGCCCCTCTCCCACTCCTCCCCTCTGCAAGGCTGCACACCTGCTTGCAGCCACAAGGATTCAAAATCAATATTGTATTTGTCACTTTTCTGTCTCCTTTTCCTCTCTCAACAGACCTGCTTGCCACTGAGGCGAATTGTGGATTTATGGAGGAAAATTAGCATAAATTATTAGCAAATCTGTAAACGTGTGTGGTCTTGCTTGTGGGAAAGGGGGCTATTGCAAACCTTCCATGCAGAAAGGTGGTCCATGATGGGCTCCATGCAAGGGCTGAATGGCCCTTGCACGAAATAGATTTCCATTGGGTTTGCACATTGATATAATTGACTTATGTGTATTTTATACAGTTTTCCCAACACTTCCTCTGAGCTCCTTATTTGAATTAGACTTCAGAAAAACGTCTATTTGTTTTGGTGTCCTACACAATGGATTTGGATTCACTTGCACCCTCTCCTCCTCCCTAGTGTTGGCTTTCAAAGTAAAAGGCAAATGCTACAAGTTGCATTTAAATCCTGTATTTCCCAGGTCTATCATCTGTTGTGTGCTTAACACGAGGTGAAACTTTGGGTATCAATTACTGGGATGATTTAGCCTGCCCTACCCCTCCGCTCACACATTCCTTTACAATGGGAAAAAAAAGAAAAAAAGAAAAAAGAAGGAAAAAAGATCGTGCGCCTTCCAGCCATACCTCGTTCTCACTCGGAGCAGCAAATGACAACGGAAGTCGACTTCTCTTTAACTTTACAGCTTGCGGTTCCCTCTTGCACCAGCGGTTGTTTTGTTTTGTTTTCTTTCTTCGGAAAGAAAAGGTACTGGGAAAAAGAGGAAGAAAAGAATTTGTCACTTCGTGAATCTTATTCACTCCCGTGCTGTTTCTGAGCCGTCTTTTTGATGGGCATCCCAGGAGTGAACTTGGGCTGAGAAACAACACCCGAACTGAGGGGTGTTAGGAGTTGGGGACGGGGGGCTGGAGTGTGTGTGTGGGAGGGAAGTGTCCCTTATACCCACATATTTGGGGGCTCTCAATACAGACATAGAAGCCTTCTGCGTGGTGTCCTAGGGGACGCTGGGAGGAATCTGCCCTCATTTGAGAGTATCGTCTTTCCTACCCCCTAACAAACGTTCATCATCTAATCACCTCTTACACCCCCAAAAAAATTTCTGGAGGCTGCCTTCCTGCCCTGCCCGGCTGGACGGAGCATCTCGGAGCCGGTTACACTGAGCAGGGCTGCTCCCGGGCTCTGAACTCCACAAACGCTCCCGGGCCCTTCCCTGCCAGGGGCACAGGGTGACATGCGGCAGGTCTCCCTCCAAAAGGGCTCGTTAGCTCGGCAGCGCGGGGCCGCTCGGCTGCTCGGAGTCCCAGGAACACAATTATTTGCTCATTATTCTCTAAACGACATCCTGCCCCGAGAGAGAGGGATTAGATGGGACCGAGGGCGGGCGGGTTGGAAGGAGGGGAGCGGAGTGTAACACACACGAGGTCGGCGCGGTGTGAAATGCGGTTTCCAGACTGCTGCCAGGTTTGAGGGAGCCCCGCTTGCTGGGGACTGTCCCTCCGAGGAGGCTCCCAGGCGCCCGCAGAGCCCGTGTCGCAGCAATCGCGCTGCGGAGCCACCGCCGCGCTCCCTCCCCCAGCCCGGCTATTTTTGCTGAATTAAGAAGGTGACATTATTCTTCTTTTCAAGTACTTCTGTTAATATTGAAAAACGTGCGCTTGCATTTCAAGCGCGCGCGCTCAGCCTCAGCAGCCATTTCAATATTAATGAAATTGTTTAATCTCCTAAATTCATCGTGTTTAAGTTACGTTTTGGTGAGTTATTGACCGACTCCGAAAATATTGTTATGGAGTTGATGTGTATTCACCACAAAGGCTCTTCCTCCCAGGGCTTGCAGCTCCCGAGACAATCTTTAATTCTGGCTCTAGGGTGACAGGATGCACCGCAGCCTCGGGAATACACATCATACAAACTTCCCTCCTGTGCCAGGGCAAGCCTGGGACCTTCCGGGCCTCATCCTCCCCCCAGGACACGCGGCTGGCAGCGAGCTGCTCGTCTGGGCTGCGCTTCCAGGATCGGGCCTCGGTTCCCGGGGAGGAGGGAGGGCGGTGGAGCAGAGGGAGCCGCAACTCGGGTGCTCCAAACCCTGCCTGCTCCTCCACACCCTGCCTGCTCCTCCACACACGGGTGCGCACCGAGCAGCACACAGGCAAGCGAACAGCCTGAGACACAGCGCGTAAATCCCACAGAAGGCGTCAAACTGAGGATATTTAGCACCATGACCGGTGACAGGGACTGGATAGCCCGGCCCAGCTCCGCGGGACCCCCAGTCCCGAGGCCGGCCGGTCGGAGGGGCAAGCGGACCCTCCGCGGCCCCGCGAGCAGAACGGCGGCGTGCAGGGAATTCGTTCCCGAGCCCACCGGGCTGTGCCACGGCCGAGAGCCCGCTCGCTGGGATTATTTAGGGCGACTCCCACGGCTTTACACCAACAGGTCCGCAGAACCAGTCCTGCATGGGCTGGGGGGGAAGGGTGGAGCCTTGGGGGGGAGAGTAACTTCCCGGGGCGGCGGCTACCGAGGAGCCCCGATCTTATCGCTCCTCGAAAGAACCTTCGCTCGGGGAGAGCGGATTTGGCAAAGAGAAAGTCTCTCGTTACAGGGAAAAAGGCTCGCCTTAAGTTAGCCAACAATACAAATCAGATAACAATGCAGAACAAACAGAATACCACAGCCAAGCAATTTCCATGTCAAACATCCCACTGCTCAGTACCTCCATTTGTAAGTGTGAATTGCAGACTAAGCTTCCTGCAAAGTCCACAGAGAGGTTAGTGCATACCTTCCCCCCCACCCCCAGCCACCGGGTACCATCGCACTGCAATTCCGCTGGCGGAGCCTTTTCACCCCTCGCCTTGTCTTCAAATGGAAATGATTCCCATTGGCCCAAGGTGTCCATGTAAATAGGTGTAAATGAAACCAGATTATGCCTTTCTCTCCAGCCCCCTCCTCCCCGCTCCCCTCCCCCTGCTCCCAAGGCGATTGTCATATGATAGCAAAGAAGTGGCACATTAATGAAGCGCCTCTACAGGGGTCTTTTCTGCTCATGTCACCACATAAAACTATCAGATGGTTAGAGGAAGGACATGGAGGCAACTACTTAGCTCATCGCGGCTGCAGAGAAGCAAACAAGCCTCTGCTCCAGTCCAGCTGCCGGTGGTGTAAAAGAAGCTGATTCAGCCCGCGGAGGCGAAGGGAGGGGTGTACAAGAGGATTCCCAAAACCAAGCCAGCTCGCTGCCTCTTCAGGACTAAACCGGAGCAGAGTGGCCGCGAAAGGAGCGACAGACACGCCGGAGGAGCGGGGTGGGAAAGAGCCCGGACTCTCAGCTGCGTCCCGGATGCGGACTGTCAACTTCCAGCAACTCTAAGGTGGGCATATGCAGGGGGTAGCACGAAGTGGGAGACGAGGGGAGGGGAGGGGATGGGGTTCCCTTCTCCTCCTCGCCGAGACCAGAAGACAGAGCTATCACTAGAGTAACTTTACGGCCGCGGGCTGCAGCGGGAAGGCCAAGCTCAGGGAGGCCGGAGCTGGGAGAGGCACACCGTTTTTCCCCCGCCGGCGGCACAGAGCTCCGGGCTGTTTTCTCCTGCCCCCATCCTTCCATCCCCCGCCCCCATCGCGAGGGCTGAGGTCCATCGTGCCCTTTCCCTCCGTCCTTCTTTCTCCAGCCCGGCCCCAGACCCACCGCCTGCCCCGACTGGGTGTCCGTGCAAATCCTCTCGGACTCACCCCTCTCCCCCCACCCCCGCCCCCTTCCCTTGTCGCTGCCCCTCTGCAGATCTCCCCGGTCGCCTCGCGAAGATGCCTCGCCCGGGCAGAAACACTTACAGTGATCAGAAGCCTCCCTACTCCTACATCTCGCTGACCGCCATGGCGATCCAGAGCTCCCCGGAGAAGATGCTGCCCCTGAGCGAGATCTACAAGTTCATCATGGACCGTTTCCCCTACTACCGGGAGAACACGCAGCGCTGGCAGAACTCCCTCCGCCACAACCTGTCCTTCAACGACTGCTTCATCAAGATCCCGCGGCGCCCCGACCAGCCGGGCAAGGGCAGCTTCTGGGCGCTGCACCCCAGCTGCGGGGACATGTTCGAGAACGGCAGCTTCCTGCGGCGCCGCAAGCGCTTCAAGGTGGTCAAGTCGGACCACCTGGCCCCCAGCAAGCCGGCGGACGCGGCGCAGTACCTGCAGCAGCAGGCGAAGCTGCGGCTCAGCGCCCTGGCGGCCACCGGCACCCACCTGCCCCAGATGTCCACGTACAACCTCGGCGTGTCCCAGCCCTCCAGCTTCAAGCACCCCTTCGCCATCGAGAACATCATCGCCAGAGAGTACAAGATGCCCGGGGGCCTCGCCTTCTCCACGATGCAGCCCATGCCGGCCGCCTACCCCCTCCCCAACCAGTTGACTACGGTGGGCAGCTCCATTGGCACGGGCTGGCCCCACATGTACAGCTCCGGCATGATCGACACCGCCACCCCCATCTCCATGGCCAGCAGCGAGTACGGCGCCTACGGCGTGCCCATCAAGCCGCTGTGCCACGGGGGGCAGACTTTGCCGGCCATCCCCGTCCCCATCAAGCCGACCCCCGCCGCTGTGCCGGCCCTGCCCGCCCTGCCCGCGCCCATCCCCACCATCCTGTCGAACTCGCCGCCCTCCCTCAGCCCCACGTCCTCGCAGACGGCCACCAGCCAGAGCAGCCCGGCCACCCCCAGCGAGACTCTGACCAGCCCCGCGCCCGCCCTGCACTCGGTGGCCGTGCACTGACCCGGGCCGCCCGCGCGGACTCTGCCTTCCCTGTCTCCCAAAGTTTCCTCGGAGCTCTCCTCCCTCCCCGCCTCTCCCTCCTTCCGCTCCTTTCCTCTCTCCTCTCCGCTCTTTTCCTCGAAAGCAGACACAACTCCCCGCGGGAAGCTGAGGTTTGCCGTGAGCCCTCCCTCGGGGTTCGGCTTCCCCCCTGCTCCTGAACTTTGCTTTCCCTTCTCCCGAGGCGAAAGGACCCGGCCTGGCCCCCTCCCGCCCGGTAGGAACTGCCACTTGCATCGCTAGTTTTCCAAAAGTACTTCAGGCATCTTCGCTGGGCGAACCCGGCCCGGCGACGCCTCTTCCCTTCCTTTGTACGGGGAAGAGCGGGGTTTATCCAGGACCGGTCTGTAATTCCACAGGCAGGGATGGCCGCTGCCTCGCTGCACGGGAGCAGCGGCGTTTCCAGCCTCCAAGCAGCGGGCGCTTGGATCTTGGAAACGCCGGGAAGTGCTCGTGTCCTTTGTGCGGGTCTCGTTGTTACAAAGGGCAGGATTTCCCGGGGCCAGGCTGCGGGAATCCCCGGGCAGGAGCCCCGGGCAGGGGGTGCGGGGCCGGCGCGGGAACAGGACCCACGCGAGGGAACCGCCCCGGTCCACTCAGCCCACACCTATAATGTTTACAAAGCGCCTGTTCTAATGTAAATACTGAACTTGCATCTGTACTGTACATCGGATGGGGTCCCTTTTGCAGTACCTGTTGTAACGTGGATGTTTACTGTAGTTTTCAGGTGAAAGAGAAGTTGACTCGCCTGTTAACTTCTGATTAACCCGAAGGTTTCGGGGGCTGAGGTTTCCTTTGTTGTTTGTTGGGGTTTTTTGTTGTTGTTATTTTTAAAATTTTGTAGCTATTTATTTCATAGCTTAAAAACAAACAACAACAATAATTATAATAAAAAGAAACCTGTTACCAAGCACATGACCCGACATAGCTTAAAGAAAAGCTGCTGAAGTCACTGATAAAATGTGGAAAAGTAATACAATAGCAGGTACAAACTGTGGAGGTCATCCTGATTTCTGCTGGGGCTTTGCAGACAAGAGAGAGGGGGCTAGGGAAATTGTAAATGTTTGTGCATATGAATGATTATAAAATGTGTAAAATGCACTTTTGTTTGATATACTCCTTTCTAGTTTTAGGTAGTTTGCTGGAAACTGAACTGTTGTTCTGTTGTGAACTGCTTAAGTTAAGAAAAAAAAAAAGAACACCCCCTCCAAATGGCATTAGTGTCTATTGAAACTGTAAAGACATTTCTTTTTAACTTTTTTTTTCCTGTACAGAATAAGCATGGCATTTTAAATATTGGTGTTCTTGTTCCCAGCATGTGTGTTTTAAGACAAAGGTTAAAAAGTGTCTACGTTAAATTATGAACCTAGTCGTCCAAATAATATTTTCTCATTAAAATATGTAAATGCAGATTTAGCTTCTTATTTGTCTTTTTAAAGAGTTTACAGGAGAAAAGAAAAAACATTAGTTGATGACAAAGGAATGACGCTATTTCAATATTTAGATAATCTAAACAGCCTTTTCACGCGAGGTTACTATAAATGTAGTTATTAACATACTACCACGTCTCAGATAAAGTTGTCCTTATTGCCGGTTTAGCGAAGGGATAAAGCACTGAGTGTGTTCTGTGGGGTTTATACATCTGTGCATCTACGCATACACATCTGCATTTGTGCCCTGTACACTCACACCGAATACAAACACGAATTACATTTACACCTGTTTGGATGTAACTTATCACCTACGCACTCCCAGTTACATTTTATCTAAAAAGTACAAAAACCAGTAAGCTCCTGCGATAGAGAGCAAACATAAAACCCCTTAAAGAATTACTTCCTTTTCAAGACTGAGAATACCGCATTTTTGCCAGTAGTGTTTTTTCTTACAAGTGGCATCTCAAAATCTTTTTCGAGTAAAAGTGAGCTATTATAGCCCTTTACCTGTCGTTTAAGCCTCCTCAAGCACAACAGTTTAGCCCAGCCACTGCTGTAATTTCTCCATCTCTGTTGATCAACACTTTCAAAAAACGGTAGGTTGCAAACTGTAACACTTAATATTGTACCCGTTTTTCTGTAATTAAATATACAGTCCCTTTTAAAAAGTAAGGGCAACGCAGTTACAATGAAAACTGGATTCCGGGCACTTTCCAGGGGGGTTCTCCCAATCTGTTAGGGATTTTACGAGGATTCTGCGACTGCTGCAAATGACAGAAGCAATCCAGTGAAATTACTAACGAAGTGTTTCGGAGATGAGGAGGCTGCGAGCACAGTTATGAGACAACCACACACTGAAGTGCTTCCTAGCAAGAAAACGACATTGTATTCTAATGAACAGACAGGATTCGCGAATTCTACGGCAATGATGTTACAGAGGTTTTGTCTCTGATCTCTCTCTGAATTTCTGGACCATAAACACAGTAAGTGACATCCCCATTTCCTTATTACAAACCACAAGGTCCTTGCAAAAGTTTTAAGATTAATGTAGAGGGCAATTAATCCAGTTGTGACCATTTTTTCAAAAAGGGAACGGATCCCACACACAGAAAAAAGGTGGAAAATACATGAATCATTGGGCTGATTAAAATGCATGAAGCTGCTAAAGCTTGTCAGATGGGGGACAACTGAACTCATTCATCAAGTCCAACCCACGATTATATCAACACGATCAGCTAAAGAAAGCATTCAAAACTTATCACCAGATCAATGGACACATAACTCGACAAACTTTTCCTAAACAAGCGATGACCTACATTTTTAGACGACGAGGACGCTTTTTCTCCTTCCTTTTTTTCTTTTAAGATCTAGCAGTCAGAATAAATCCTCAAAGATGAAATCCGAGCTCAGCTAAGAAGATGAAGCTGCACTTTCAGTCTTTTTTTTTTAAACTATACAGTAACGGCGGAGATAACGATCTGAAAAGATTATGGCCCAAAGCAAAATATTTTCGAAAGGTGCAATAGCTTTCTCGCTGCATAATGCGATAGTATGAGTCGCCACCGTACTTTTAAAGTGCCATTTTCCTCCTTATCTCTGCGGTTGCCCGAGACTTTGGCAGCCCGAGGACCCCCCTCAGCCCGCGCCCTCGGCCGCGCTCCTCCGCGCATCTCCGCCCGCGCCCCGATGTTGTGATGCTGCTCTCAAACAAATACGCAGCTCAGCGAGTCGCTTGAATTTACTGCTTTGACTTGTTAAATCTCCCTAATGGCTCAAGTCCAATGTCAATAAACACAGATCTGAAATGGAACAGCGAGAGACAACGGCGCGGAGGGAAGGGCCGAGGGGGGGCGAGGGAACCAGCCCCGGCCGAGCTCTGCGCCGCGTTCACACATTTCGTGGGGGGCCGGGGGGGGATCTTTATCTTTTTTATTTTATTTGCCAGCGAGACATTGTAAGCTGAGCGTACTTGATGCAAAGCGAGCGTTCATTCCAGGCAAAAGCTCTTTTCTTCCGGAGGATGGGTTTGAGCCCGGCTGTGCAAGGTAAGCCCGAGAACCCAGCCGGGCTTGGCGGCTCGGGCTTTTGCTCCATGTCAGCGCATGGTATGTGAATCCTTTCTCGGCGGCGTATTTCTTTCCTTTTTTTTTTTTTTTTTTGGTTTTGTTTTCTCTCCCCTCGACATGTGACAAGACACCACCCCACAGGACTGAATCCTCTATTGAAGACAGCCAGCTCTTTCTCTCTCAGAATATTTATTTTCTCTCGGACCGCGCCTTGCAGGGAAGGGCGGTCTGTGCCAGGTAGGGAGAAAAGAACTCCCCGGCGACCCCTGAGAGGGAGTTTTATGAGCCAGCCTTTTTTCAGAAGTGATCCTTGGGAAAGGGACAAAAAACTTAGCAGCTTCATCAACTTCAGTGCCGAATTATCTCGGAATCTTAATATAAATATCACTTTGTGGGTTCGTTATTTTTTGTTTTGTTTTTATTAACAAAAAGAAACCGAGGCTGTGAAGCCTTGGAGGGGCTGTATTTGTTTCTTTTAAACTAACAACAAATTATCTAATTAATATGTTTCAATTACAGCATGAAAAAGAGAGGCTTTGGACCGCCTGCAGTGGGTTTACAATAGCCCCAGAGCCCACTATAAGAATTTACAATAACTTCACATCTGTTTCTTTATTTCCCACTTTTCGAGTCTAAAACTCCTCTTGAAATCACTTCAAACCGTGGCCCAAGTTATGAAATATGGTCTCTCTGCCAGGAAAAAAAAAAAGGTAGAAAGAAAAAAAGGACAAAACTTTGCAGATCGAGGCTTCATTTGCAAGCTAGAAAGTGAAAGCCCCATTGAAGAGCATTAAACAAATATATTAGAATTCTGTCACTTTATGCAATTGAGTAGATCAAATAAAGGGTCCCAGGCCACTTCATTCACTCTCATTCACTTGAATAGAAAATGCAAAGAATAGCAAACCTAGACTGGGCCACCGATGTAGATTTAGCCCTTTTTTTCTGAGAGACAAAAAGGCTGAATTTTCACAAACACATTGCTGACTCGGGGACTAGGAAACCAGCACTGAAACCCCTTTGGAATTTAAATTCATTTTATCTTCCTCTCTCTTTCTGGGTCCCTTTGCGCTACAGGGCGAGTTGCACTGGCACCCTTGCCTGGAAAAAAAAATACAACACAACACATCAACAACGACCAAAAAAAAAGAAAAAAAAAGTTCCAGATATACCCAGCCGAGCCGCAGCACACTTTGGGAGGTGAGGTTTTATTTGCAAAGAGAAAAGAGGACCCAGCCGCTCTCTGCCCGGGCTGCCCGCGGACCGCAGCCCTCCCCGAGCCCCGTCCGCGCTCGGGGCGCTGCGCACACGCGGAGGGGCCGCGGGGGGAGCGCGGAGACCCCCCGGGCCAGCCCGGGCTGGGATCACCCAGCTACAGCAGCAACACACTGCACAGCACAGGGCAGGGTATGGCACCGAGTGTGGCACCGAGTGTGGCACAGGGCAGGGCACAGGGCATGGTATGGCACAGGGCATGGCAACACAGCCGTGCTCATCTGTGCCAGTGCCTGCCCAGGGCAGAGTGTGGCACAGGGCAGGGCACAGGGCAGGGTATGGCACAGGGCAGGGCACGGCACAGAGTGTGGCACAGGGCAGGGTATGGCACAGGGCATGGCAACACAGCCATGCTCATCTGTGCCAGTGCCTGCCCAGGAGCCAGCAGTGCACAGCAGGGACACAGCCCCTGTTCTCGAGGAGGTGGCCCCAGGAGTGCCCACTGCTGTGTGAGAACCGGGTGACCCTGTCCCCCCCTTGGCAGGTGTTTCAGGTGGAGGTGCCTGACCTGCCATCCCTCCTCTGCCGGGCCCTCAGCGCGAGGCACGGGGGCACCAGGGAGGGCCTGGCCCTCTGCTCCCTCAGCATCCCCAGCATGGGCACTGCCAGGACACACCACCGTGTTTGAGAGGTCAGCTCAGACCACAACTGCAGCCACTGCTAAATAAAGGCTCTTGGGTTTGTGCTGTTTCGTAGGGCCTCAGTATTAATTAAGTAGTAACTCGAGTATTTTGCATTAATTAGAGCAGCTCCTTAGAGAGACATTACAGCCAAGACTAATCCTACACCACAGGAAAGCACTCAACATTTTCACTGCCCCAACCAGCACAGCCAGCACAGCCAGCCAGCCAAACAGACAGACAGACAGACAGACAGACAGCACAGCCCCCTGCATGTGCTGGGCGGCTTTGGAAACACCAACCTGCAGCCACTTCTCCATGTGAGGACATCAAGGCACTTTGGGGCTGCAGCTTCCATCCTCCCTGCCTGCTTTAGTGGCTACTGACTAGACAACAAATAAGCAAGGAGGGACTGAGCCCAAAGCCTGGACCTGCTTCTGTCCCTGGGTGTGCCCACCAGCCCTGGCCTCGGCAGCATAAGGTGCCTTCTCAGACTTCAGAAATCTTTATTACAACATCCTGCCAGAGGATTTGGGAACTCTTGCTCCAAAGGACGCTTTCCTAAGCAGGCCCACAGGTTAATTCCACGTTTTAACACTCTGAGCTACTAATTATGGGACACTTTTATTCCTACTGTCAGCAGTGCCACTGCACTAACAAACATTAAAGAAATATAAACTCAAATGAAATAAGCAAAAAGTTACCAAAGCCTGTCTTTTGGAATACCTAAACATGAAAGCACACCAAGTCATCCAGCTCTGGCCAAAACCAGCTGCTTTATTGGTTGAGTCAGACAGGAAACTCTGCTGCAGGATACGAGGGTGGGCAAAGAACCCATTCCAGAGCAAGGTAGACAATTCTCCATTGGCAGCCACTGATGGCAACCAGTTCTTCAAACAACGGCAAGGCCACCTCTTCCCCACCACAGATGTGCCATTTTGTACCAACTGGAGCAATATCACCATC